TAATCCGCTTCAAAAAAAAAAAAAAAAAGGCACGTGGATATTTTGGCTAAACTTCCTAAACTAAGGGAACATGTTACCTCCTATCCAATTCGTTCCGCGGCACGTTGGTCTCTGCCTTTTTGCCGTAACAACTTATTCACGTGGTCTCTAAAGTATATGCTACCAACTTTGCTAAATTTCCTCGTAAACAAAAACTTTGATATAATGTCCGTCGCAATGCAAGATTTTGTTTCTTTTTTTTTTTTTAAATTGAATATATTGGTATTGTGCGATAGGTTGTAATCTATTATTTGTATACAATGTCGATATTTTGCTGTTGCTTTGTATTTTACTTTGTCTCGTGGAGCTGTAAAGGCCAGTTCACACTCTTGCAACCAAGTACAATTGGAAAAAATGAGTTAGAAGTGAATTCTAGTGTATTTTTACCCCGTGAACCCGAATACCCAAACCATTTGCAGCGTAAGCATTGTTAAACGCGAGAAAAACGCGAAAGACAGTCGCTGTCCGTGACGTCATCGACGGCTCTTTTGGCTGCCCAAGGCTAGGGAGGCGTGGCTTCAGCCCTATTTTGAAATTGCTCTTGTGGCTCTCCGGCGCGTCGCATTGAAATATAATTTTGATATCTGTTATTTTAAAGGCCAAATGAACGCAATTCAAGCGTTTTTTCTCAGATGTAGAAGTGCCCCATCTTCCCTTTAAGCCTTTTGCGACTTCTTAGGACTGGATGTGCTGCAACGAAGCTGGTCCTAAGAGATCGCAAGAGGCTTAAAAACCGGTCTGGTGTCTCTCGGTCTTACTCGGTCGCAAGAGTATGAACGGGCCTTAAGGGAGTAGGGGGCTCCGTCAAGCTGTTAAACAACTTTTTCCCCTTGTTTCCTCCATTCATGTATTGAATAGGAGATAAACTTTATTATTATTATTATTATTATTATTATTATTATTATTATTATTATTATTATTATAAGTAGCAGTTATAATAAATTTAATGAAATAATTTTAATCGTAATTTTTTTTTTCGACGAGTGGTCAAGGCATCTCAACCCAGCATGACTTTTAACTTAAACTCGTGGACTGCTTTGAACCAGACTGGTTTCTCGGCCGCCATGAAAGGAGCCGGGTGTGAGCTCAGTGGCATGGGCGAGACCGGGGCTCCGGTTAGCGCGGACAGAAGTTCGGCGGGCGCCAGTCGGTGAGAGCCCTTTGAATCCAGGCAATGCCGCCGACCGTCCGGATGGAGAGGGCGGCCCAAAGAATTTGAAGGACGGTCGCCGATGGCGGAGAACTCGTGTATATCGGACGCTGGAGGAGGCTGTCGGGCTGGCAACGTCGGCGGAACTCAGGCAGCCATGTATTGCACAAAGCTCAGCGTGACACGGCGAACAGGACCATACGCAGCGCTGAATATGGGCGTGGAGCTGTCAGAGTCGACGGCCGCCTCAGTAAAGTGGACGGTGTGCCGATGGGGAGCGAAGTTGGAGACAGTGGAGATGCCCTCGAGCAAAGTCATCGCGGCGAGCGGGCGCCGATTCCCCGATCTTTTGACCAAGGGAGGGGGGGATGGCGCGATAGGATGGAGCTCCCAGGGCGGAAGTTAGGCGGGTAAAGGTAGCAGACTTAGGTTTCTTGAGCTGCGAGTAGAAGCCAGGTCGCCAGGGCTGTTCGCAAAAGGCCGGCTTATAAAATTTTTTTTTATTTTATTTTTGATGTGCTTTGGATAGAACCCCTTTGCACCTGCGATAACAGGTGCGAGAGTAGCAGAAGCTACAAGAGCAGAGGCGTCGGAACAGGGATAGGGGGAGGGAGGGCAGGGAGACGAAGGGCTTTATTGGTACACACAATGCACGTGCGAAAATTTAAACCGTTACCAGAACGGGAACGATTGAATTTTCTTTCACACGTAATTGCCAAATATTTTTGTCCGTAAATTATTTTGAAAGAACGCGGTGCCTACCAGCAAAACAAACAGAACAAAAAAATCGTTTTTTTTTGTTGTAAATTTACCGTTGTCTTGTAAACAAAGCATCAAAGTGCCCTCTTTAATGCTTTGTTTTGTTCTGCCTAAATTTTTTTTCTTATTGCAAATTATAAACAAGGTTTTTATATAGTTTAGACCAGCTTCACGCTACCTAAGATCTAGCGTTTAATCTGCTTTTGCTGGTTTTTTTTTCGTTTATTGAGGGTGCAGGTTGTTGAAGAGCATAGTCGTTTGCACCCGTCAGCGCAGTTTATCAATAAGGGCAAGTAACACCGGCTCAAAAAAGAAAAACAAAAGAAGAAAAACGGATTCTAAGTGCTACAACGATAATGCTCGCCGTAAAAAAATTGAAAGGCAATAAAGAAAGAAGAAAAAGAAAAAGAGGGGGGAAGGAAACACACTCTAGCAGGTGTTCGGAACAACCGCATGAGCGTAAATGGTGCTCACACAATTCTAAACCCAGGCGCACTTTATTTCACGGGAAAGATTCAATAACCGCGCAGGAAGAATTCTCTTCAACATTTGGTTAATTCGATTATCTTCGACCCGGAAACATAAGATTGATGACACAGATTTAGTTTTTTTTTCTTTTATGCGCTAACTCCCTCCAGCCTTCCTCCGCGTCTTTCTAATAAAAACACACACAAAAAAGAAAAGGAAACCAGTTTGCTCGGAACTCGACGAGATTCCAGATTTCAAGCGGCCGAAGAAACCCAAAGTTGCTTGCACAAACTATCGATCGGGAAACTTGTTCGATTAATCTCACCGAGCTGGGTTCACGCGTGGAACGCAAGAGCGGGCGAAGGGAGTCCGCCTCGGAAACTACTCCAATACGCACTCGCGACTTCCCCACGACGCGCAACTGTACGGAAGTAAGGACAAAAAACAAAAAAAACAAAAAAAACAAAAAACAAGGAATGCTAGACAGATTACAAATGACCGCACCCAAAACCGAAGACCGTACATGGTACGGGCCTGGGTTTCCATATACAAAACGACCATAAAAATAAAACAAGCTTTTATTATTATTATTTTTTTCTATTGCAAAAGTAAACCACGCGTCGCCGAATGCTGTTTCCGGACAAGTGTAGCGCTAACGGTTCGGACCAGGTGCCAAAGTTTCAGAACTCTTCTTCAAAAGTTATAAGTGATTTAAGAGAAATTCAATGGGAAAAGGGGGTTCTGTTTTCGGTAGCTGACGCCATTTAGCTCCACGTGTTCGAGGGCTTCGTCGGCCGCCATTTTCCCACTGAAAATTTTCGAAAATCGCTGAAACGTTGGCATCTCGTCCGGACCGCGTTTGGGCAAAAACTGAGCGCGTAATAAGGATTTATCGTAGATCGTTTCCGCTGTCCCGCAACGCTCTCCGTAACGCGCTAAGGTAGCCGGAACTATTCGAAACTCTACAGTCAAGGCCATTTTAACGGAGGGGGAAACGTGGTCAACAAAAACACTAATTAAAAAAAAAAAGAAGCTTTTTTTCTTTTCTTTTTTATTGGGGGGAAAAAAAGGGGGGGGGGGGGAGAGTAGCTGGCTGCTGGTTGCGGAGAGCCGTTGCGGGGCGGCATAAACCATCTACGAAAACTCCCTATTTTGACTCTAGAGACTGAACACGCGCTCGCAGAGCTAGGAATTCGCAGACCGCAACTCGGACTGGCAGGAATTCATTCTTGAAAGAAACTGTAGGAACAGGACATGCGTAGAAACCCGTTTTCCAAAGACAGGAGCATCTGCGCACGCTGAATAAATGGATGGATGTCGGTAAACCCTTTGAAACGGGCGACGGCTTGCGCCACCTGGTGCCATCGTTGCGCAGCCAGAGCCAACGCAATGGTGCGACGTGATTGACGTCAGAAACACGAGTTGGTGCATAGTAGTGGGGTTTAACGGGGCCGACATTCGAGGCATGACTGTAATAATGTTCCTCCGCAAAGTATGAACATAATGTCGGCCGCAGTCTCGCACTTCCTTATACCCAGGAAAGTTCGAGAGAAACGGAGGAGGACTACTACGAAACTAAATATTTCACTAGCGTCGTTTCACTTGAGCGCAGCTGAAAAGTGGATGTTTTTATCCCTTCTTTCAATACCAGCTCAAATTATCAGTCCATCTTAAATATCGAAAGAGACGAACCTTTACTTCAAAGCTGCATAAATCTAAAACATATTAGCATACCACATCGCGAGCGACGAAAACAAAAACAACAACAAAAATCTCATATCCACGGTCAAATAAATCGCTAGTGAATAAAAATGTTGACCTAGAAACACCAAAGCCTCACCCAGTGACACTGCTTGTTAATACCGACCCGTTTCCAATGAGACATTAGCCGGAACTAAGATCCGCAGCAAAATTATTGAGCGACAGCGCAGATGTCGAGTCCGTGAATTCGCAGGCCGTTGTGCGTCGAACCACCTAACGCTTCGGTTCGCAGAGCTCGCATACTGAATCCGTTTGTGTAATCTATCGTTGTGCTTTAAGTGTGCTGCCCAGGTTACCTTAAATTTCATCGACCACACGGGGAAAATGATTGCATGGACGGCGGAAAATTAGTCCGCCTCAAAATGTAGCGGCTAGAAGCAAATTCGGCCACTGCTGACCGTACGGCTCCTAGCACAAGACGCTTAAATGTACAAAGGTCATTCACCTCGGAAACCGCAGGTATGGGGTATAAACTCAGGAAGTCAGTGAAGCGAGCTTTTTCGTTCGCTGTGGTTTTGAATACCTAGACAGTGTCAGCGTAGTTAGCCTTCGAAACTAGTGACGCAAGTTGTCGCTCGTTGCACATGGGCAATTTGGCCAGTGCAGTACGACCGCTAACCTGATGTTTTTAACGTACGTCACGCAGTAGTCATTCCATGAGCGCAAATGCCGGTACTAAAAGATTACCCAGAATCGAAACCGGCTAAAGGGCACATTTATCAAATGCAAATGCTCAGGGACCTGTATGAAGACAAATGGTTTACCGTGAGATGGCCCTGTGTAGCTGGAGCAAAATAGCGAGACAGAGAGAGACCTAACTTACCCGAACGTGAGGCTTGCAGAGGATGGCTTGAAGCTCTTCCATGTCGGCGGTGACTCCCAGCGGACAGTCTTGGATCCACTCGAGAACCTAGGATTCGACAACAGACAGCATACGTATACGAGCGTGTATATACACACAGCTAAAAACAGCAATAGGGTTGACAGAAAACTTTCTGATAGTTACTGCACGCTTACAGAAATAAAACTATCTCTTTCTGATATAGTTGACTGCAAGCTTGCCAAAATAAAATCATCTCACACCGCGCATGCGCCATTTCTAAAGAGCCGAAACTGAGAATCCTCGCTTGCAAGTGTTTGCTTGGGACCAAAACGCATGAACCGTCTCTAGAAGACAACGTGTCTAGACATCCTTCAGAAACGCTCCGTGATGTCAAATGTATACACACGCACGAGGTCTTCCACGGGTTTACGTCTTCTGCGCGATCGCAGGTTTGATCCCTTCTCTTTTGGTGACGGAAAAGCCCGAAAAGTGTCACGTGGTGTTTAATCGCTGACGTCACGGCATGGTCGAATAACGATGAAACGAATGTGTGACTGGCGGAAGACAGCGTGCCAGCTGGTCTGTTATTTCGTGTTCCCGCGCTCACCTTTAACCTTTTATCTCGATTAATGACCGGCGCTTGCTCAGTCTCTTCTTCGTCAACGCGCACACTCCGCGCACTGTTGCTGATGAGCGGTGATTGGCGTGCTTACGCTATAACAGACGCCCGCGCTTTTATACTCTCCGCAGAGCGCGCAGTTGACGAATCACTAGAAATGTGCGCCAATGGCAGCTTAACGGACGTTTTAAGGACACCCTTCTTGGCCATTCGTTCTTCAGCGTCCTTGACGGCGAATGTCGCATTTTCATTCGCTGTACAGCGACGAAAGGACTATAGTGACAGTCTACGCTGGCGTCGATTATTCACCTTGTCTTCCTTCTTCGTGATTGGTTCTTCGACATTCGTATCGGCTCCGCTACTTAATCGGAACGATAACGAGATGCATGGGATTCTCCACGTCCCGCGTTTCCATAGCGCGCACCTTTTTTGTGTTTTTGTTTTAGAGTGCAGCTCTTAGGGGCCCGTTTCCGACTTGAGCGGCGTCGGCGTCGCCGTCGGCGTAACCGCGAGGTCACGTGACCCCCCACCCCCAAGATTACGTGACCCCCCCCCCCCCCCCGAGGTCACGTGACCCCCCTCCTCCGAGGTCAGGTGACCCCCCTCCGGAGGAGATTGAAGAATGAGGGGAGGAGGAGGAGAAGGGGGTATACCCTCCCCTCAGTACCCTTCCCTCCTCCTCCTCAAGAGCTGCGCTCTAATTCGGTGTTAAAGGGAGTTGTAAACGGCTTTGACTTTTTTTCTCACATCTTTTACATTTCCACGTGTGAGCAAAACATAGATTTTGCTATACATGACTCGCATTGACGTCACGTCGGCCGCCATTGCTCATTACCATGCTCCTGTCCCCGTCCCCTCTGCAGCATAAAATTGGGCATCATCGAACCTGTTCTTCCCGGCAAGGCTGCTCAAAAAGACATTCGATAGTGACAAATGTATGCTGCAGTAGGTACGGGGGTACAGGAGAACGGTACCAAGGAATGGCGGCTGGTACGGTGCCATATGACTAACATGCAAGGCATGTATATACTCTGTGCCACTAGTTGCGTGCAATACAGGCGAAGGCAGCGCCAGGCGAGGAGAGAAAGGGCACGCACTAGGAAGGCTGGGGAGGAGGAGATGAATCTCCTTTCCTCCCTAACGTTCCTAGTGCTTTCCCTTTCTCCCCTCGCCCTCCACTGCCCTCCTCTCCAGTCCCGCCTTCCTAGTGGTCGCCCCTACCCTCTTCGCCTGGCGTCGCCTTCGCCTGCACTGCACACAACTAGTGACACGGAGTATAGGCCCATACCCTTCTCAGCTTGCTAAAGAGATTTTTAAATCATATATCTTACTTGTCTTTAAAGATCAACTTTGATTAGGATGTAAATTTTCACTCTAGACGGAGCACACTCCGAAACGGAAAGGCGCGTTCCGGTTTCGCCTGCTGCGTTCTGTTTCCATTGGAGCAAGTAGCACAGGAGTCTACTCACGTCTCTGGCGCGACCGCAGGCGTCCGAAGGGGGGCACTTGATGGGACTGCACGAGCTCGTGTTGATGCGGTCGTACAACTGTCGGGAAGAGAGAGAAAGAAACACGATCGGCCGTCAGCGACGGAAATCGGCTGCAGCGAGGACGCCAATCCCAAAGCGACTTCCGCTCCTCCCACCCAAAAAAGGTCCCAGACCCCTCTGCATGTCAGCCGCAGCGATGCATTACTATCCACTCGCGTATATATCGGAGCGTATATATACAACATGGACCCGTCAGCTCAGCTCAGCCCTAATGGCGGCGCTGACTTACACCCGCCGCGGGGAGGAGGAGGAGCAGACGACGGACGCGTACTAACAATGAGGCCGGAGACACCGCGGCGTCGGCGTCTGCAGCCGATCTCGTTGCATACGGTCGAAGTGAGACGTCGGCCTCCCTTTCATTGGGTGGCCTCCTTCGACAGGATACACGGCTCGAGTCTCGGGTTTCAGCCGGGCGCAGGACACATACGTGGCTAGAGCTCATCGCTCCGCTCCATACCTCACGAAAGTACACCAGATGGTAGACGACAACGCGTAGATTGGATGTGAGTTCGCTTTGCTGCAGAACACGAGACACCCAATCACGGAGAAATATCGACGGACCACAGCGAATGATGAAGCTCAGAATACGATTAGACCAAGCAATGCGATGTGCGAAGGGACGTTTCATTTGCTTATTGCGCAATTAGCCTTTTTTTTCAGATTTGTTACGGCCTTGTTTATTCGCTGGGACCCTTCTATGGCTGCCTCGCTGGTCTGCAAAAAAATAAACTCACACCTTTTTTTTTTAGTGCACTATGGTGGCGTTTTCCTCCCGGTAGGAGACAAACCACACTTCGTTGCCTAATCACGGACGACTCTGTCGCGGTTGACCATGAACATGATCCAATCGGGAGAGGCAAGAGAAAGTCGTAGGCCACACGCCGTACACAGTGAACGGAAAAGTTACACAAAAGTCCATCCCTCGAAGAGATGGCCATTCGAACGAAAGCGTTCGTATTCCGAGAACGAAATAACTGTTCGCGTAGTCGCCTGCGATACCGGCGAGGTTCAAATTTATCGGGCATTGCCACGAGAAACCGGACGTCTGTGGATAATGACGCCGGCAACGACGAAGGCGACCAACGTAGAATATGCAGACGAATGAAGGAAGATTAGAGCTAGCAGTGACACTCTTATTAAGCGCACATTTGAAAGGCCGCCGAGAATAAAGAAGGAAAACCTTCTAACCGCTGGATGTCTTCGGAATCCGTCGATGTTCTTCAGCACCACGCGTGGCCTAGGAGGTTTTCCTCGGTGACCCCAGCGTTTTCGAAAAGAGCGCTGCGAAGCGGACTGGAATTCCCGAAAGGAATAACATTCCTGGGCCGGCCTGCTAGAATCAGCGTCTTAGCTGAGACTGTGTTCATCAAATCCTGCCAAGCCTGGGACGCGCAAGCCCTCGATCGACACTCGACTCCTGTCCGCTCGTGTCCTATAGCTTTGGCTGTGATTTGTTTCATACAGTGTTCGCAAAGACTGTTTCTAGAAAGCCAGACCTGACTTTCAAAGCGCGCTCTCCCCCCCTCGAGTCTCGAAGGAACACGAGAAACGTACTACAGTCGAATTGATTCGAGCCTTTCCGTTCGAAAACAACATAAGAATCCTCTATTGCAACGCGTGAAACGTATCTATACGAACCATACATCATTTTGGAAGACAGTCGCGCTTCAGAAGACAATAAACAAATGCCGACAAGAAGAGCGGTCCATGACTGCATGCAACTCTCCCCGGGGGAGGGGGGGACGCGTACCCCAAGGACAGAGAAATTCTGGAAACCTAAAATAAAAGTTTCGCTCAAAGAAGTAAAGATCTAAAGACGTAACACTTTAAGGAAAGAACACTCTAGAAAAAGAACCAAAATCGGAATGATGGATGAGCATCTTTAATCCCGCGGGAATAGAGTACCGCTTTGAATATACTTTTTTTTTTGTCGTCTCTGCTTTAATCAAGTTGGAAATTCAGTAAAAATCTGGCGCATACTGCTCCCCGCTCCGTCCTTCCTTCCTTCCTTCCTCCCCCCTTCCCCGGAGACATCGTACATCGTATAGTTGACCCGGGGGTCGCAAAACGTATCCTCCGCAAACAATCATTTTTCAGGAGCCTGCATCCAGCACAGACTGTCAATATCGCGAGATACTCTTCGCCTCGGTGTTCGGGCAATAAATAGTGATACAAGGATTGGCCCCGAAGATAGATATTGGTGTCGAATGATTCGGAAGAAAGTCAATCCCGCGCGAAGCGAGCCACTCTTAAGACGCAGGCGTGCGTGTAGAATAAATACATAAATATCGACGAAAGGAATACGAGGGTATAGGCATCTGAATGCCGAGTCGAAGAATTTGTATTATATATCAGAATGGCCGGGGTTCGTTTTTTTTTTTTATGTTTTGTTATTTAGCCGTACAGCAGTACGTTGCCCGACACAGTGAGGAGGAGGAAAAAACGGTTCTTTTTCGTTTTTCACTCGCACTGGCGGCTTAGGAAACGCATGGCATGGCTAAAAATGTTTTTTTCCCCCTTCGAAAACTGGTCATTCTTATCCGGAGATTGATTGCAACCTCATTGGTTACGGGGCGTAGGAGTGCGGGACCTGACACGCCCTGACGTCAATGACTACAGTGACGCACACCAAAAAGAACCACACTATAGACCTTTTTCGCTTACTTTCGTCCAGCCACCTGGTAGGCATATACGGTATAGGCGACGAAAAAATAATAAAACATCTCAACCTCTAAATAGTAAAAAAATAAAGGCGCGACGAAAGGAGAATGGTTCACGGTTACGCTTACATCCCAAATGTATTCTATTGACCTGACGACGGCAAAACAATGTTTTCGCCCATACTGGAAGTGACGATATGTCAAGATAGCAGCGCTTATCACCCGGAAGAATAATGCTGAGTCACTGAGCTGTGGACGTATGCGCAGCGCCTGCACAGCTACAGCGCATGCTCAAAAGGCTTTCCACAGCCCAGCAGACAAAGATTGCAGCGCGCAGAAGGCGAACTCAAGAAGGTAGGGCGAGGAAAAGAAAGTCCCGGGAGGAGGAAGCAGACGGAACGTTAGAAAGGGGAGGACGAAGTTCCCCCCTCTCCTCTCCAGGGTTCTGTCTGCTTCCTCCTCCCCAGCCATTCTTTCTCTCGCCTCACCTTCTTGAGCTCTAACTTATTATAGTGATCTCCCGTACCTTTTCAATACGGTCAAGTTACGGAGTGTTGAGACTTGCTCAACTTCGATTAGTATCACTACGGATATGAAATACATCTGCAATTCAAATTCGTTCTCACAGCCAACTTTCTCACTTTAAGCGGGTGATGTCCTAGTTACAGATTGAAACAACCGCGGTAATAAAACAATCGCCACTCCAGAGAAAGCGACGCAACCCAGCGGAAAGGACACGAAGGGGGAAAGCGGAAAGTGTGCAACGGAAACTTGCGCGGTCTAGCGGCTGAAATGTGCAACGGAGGAAAAGGGATTAGACGCGCGGCTGAAGAACCATCAACGTGGCACTCGCGGTGGCGTCCCCGCAGGGCAATGGACGCCCGCATACGAACTCCTTCGCTTAAACCAGTTGGAAACAGCGGTCGAAATAACTTGGGCTCGGCGCTTCCCGCGGTCTGATTCGATTTCGGGAAAACTCGATTGTTTGATTCTCCGCACCCTTCGCCCGGTTATCGACGAGAAACAGCGGTGGGCTCCAAATCGCCCGAACCCCCCGATACCAACCAAAACAGTTCCTGTTAAGGCGCAGCTTATTTACGTCTTATTGTTGTTTCGTTGCTTGGCAGGAAAATACTGAAGCGGTTGAAAGCCGTCCGGGGCGACCCTCGGGGGAATGCAGGCCGTTGGAAACTCCAGTTGTAAGTCCGGGCCAATATAGCGTGGCAGTTGGGAGAAGTGCCGCGGCCAACGGGTGCGGCAAGCTGAGGGGAGACTGCGGTTTCAATAAAAAAAGGGTTCGCCCGGTGAAGTCGGCGACTCTCGCGAGAGTTTGCCGGCTTTGAGGAAATGAACCGAGCTAGCGAATGAACATCGCGTTAAACATGCAACAAAAAAACAAGACAACCAAAGACGACGAGCGTCCTGACGATGCACTTTTGGCGTTGCATACATCGTCCAAAAGAGAGTCTGCGAACGCGAGTCAGCGCGAGATCAGTGCTTCGAATGCCGCACGGCAAGGAGGAAACTTGGGCACGCGGCATTCGAACCACGGATGTCGCGATGACTCGTGTTTGCAGGCTGTATTCGATCGATGATATGAGCAGTGTGACACCGACCTTTGAGTGAAAAGCAACATGAGAGCTCTAGCGTGCGCATCCCGTAGTGACACACGATCGCACGCTTATCCACACCACAACGAGCAGGGATCTCGTGTTTCGTTGTTTTCGCGCTGTTTTGTTATAAATGGCGCCCATAATGCACGAACTAGCTCAACTTTCTGCCAGGGAACTTTCGACATCCCAGTGGAACCTGCTTTTAAGCGACCTCCTAGAAAGCAGGCGACATAGCCCACTCGTTATGGTGAGATTTATCCTGCGCTCGCGGGAAATCGCGAGAAAAGCGTTATTAATGAGCACGAACCACTGCGTTTAAGTCTATAGACTGCCGTGATGTTCAGTTCCGACTCCAGAACTGATGCAAAGTAAGTTGTGTGCATTGTCAAAAGCGTCGAAGCAAACACTTTTGGGCGCAGTCCTCGTTTCTATGCCGATACTGACATGAGTCGATCGCTAGGACACGCGAAAGAATGCCGGGACTGCGCAAATTCACTTCGAAATGACAGGGGAGAAGCACTCGATCATGAGACAACCGGATCTGTCGCGTCGCTTACCGCGTTTTCACGAAGTCTGGTTTGACGACTGAAAGCGCAGTAGAAGAACTCACATGAATGCACTCTCTAAAAATCGGGTGTGCCTACTTTCCTGCAAAGCGCCTGGGAAAACCAATCGTTGCAATATCCGGAGAGGGCTCGGCACACGACAAGGTATAACCCCCCCC